CAGGCTGGTCCCGAACTCCTGCTGAGGAGGATCCTGAGGATTCTCAAGTGACCCTCCTGCCTCTTCGCCAAAGTGCTGGGATTATAGGTATGAGCCACCATGCTCGGCCTTTCATCCCTTTTTGTCTGGCCAATGGCCTTGGCCTCCTTTTGCCAGTTGGTGGCTGCAGTGACCCTTCTGGAACAAAACCATAATCATATCATGCCCTCCCTTAAAATTCTACGATGGCCCCTGGAATCTGGCCAAATCTCTCAGCTAAGTAGTTTAGTCCTTTCCCCCTTTAGCCTCCCCTCCCTCCCTCTGTCCTGTGACTCCTACACACACCCACCCCCGCAAACCCATAGTGTGCTTTCGAGCCCTGCACCCTATTTCGTCAGCCTGAATGTCCTGCCCCCACCTCACACTTCTGCCTGGCAAGCAACACTCATCCTCCCTCGGGGACACTTAGTCATTTCTTCTTCCATGCACCCAGCACGCTTGGGAAACGCTTCAGTCATTTCTTTAGCAAACACGCCCACCCTGTGCCAGACAACATTCCTAAGGGTTTTGCAAAATATAAACTCTTTTATTTTCATAACAACCCTATGAGGTTATTGTTATTAATATTACCCTGTGACAGGTGAGGAACCTAAGGCCCCTGAGAGGTTGAGTCGCTGGCCCGCCATCACTTAGCAAAAGGTGGCAAGGCCAGTATTGGAACCCAGGTGTGTAGCCCCAGAGTTTGGGCTCTGATTCACTCTGCTACGTGGCTTCTCTGATGGGATCAGTATCATTGAGCATATACTATTAACTAAACAATATAAAATTGCCAAGATTTGACTGTTTTTGGCCTATAAAAGCAGAAAATCTGTGTGATTCAGTGTGCTAGGCACTTGGGATTGAGCAAAAAACTCAATGAACAGATAACAGTCTTTGCCTTTAGAGAGGAAACATCTATAGAGTATGACAATGGGGAGCTGAGAGAGCCTAGGGCCTAATTTGGGGGGAGGGTTTGGGAGGGCCCCCGCTGAGGATGTTTAAGAGAAGACCCCAGTGAGGAAAAGTCTGGGGATAAGGGTCAGAGGGTAAGAGAAGGTGCTTCCAGGCAGAGGTGCAACACTGGAACAGTGTAGGCTAAGGCCCGAGAGGTGAAAGAGCTGCCCACGCTGTCAGCAGCACGTCCCAGCAATTAGCACCTGGCACAAAGCAGGTGCTAATAAGGAGTTGTCATCCCTGGCCATACCACCCTGAACATGCCTGGGCTTGTCTGGTCTTGGAACCTAAGCAGTGCTGGGCCTGGTTAGTGCTTGGATGGGAGATTGCCTGGGAATAATGGGTGCTCTAGGCTTTAAAAAAGAAGGAAAAAGAACATAAGAGTTTGTCAAAAGAATTGATGAAAGATGGAAAGAAGTTAAGAGAGCTGGAGCTAATGACATTGTGGACAGAAAAAATGCAAGCCCTGAAATATTTGAAAGAAGTTTATTCTGAGCCAAATTTGAGGACCATGACCCGGAGCCACTCTCAAGAAGCCTTGAGCAAGTGGGCTTGCTGTGGCTGGGTTAACAGTTCACTTTTATACATTTTCAGAGAGACAGGGGTTACAGGCAAAGTCACAAATCAATTCATGAGAGACATACATTGGTTTGGCCCAAAAAGGTGGGACATCTCGAAGTTGGGGGGGGGGCTTACAGGTTATAGGTGGGTTTAAAGATTCTTTGGCTGACAATTGGCTGAGAGAGTTAGACTTTATCTAGAAGACCAGAAAGGATATGCTTACTTTAAGATAAGGGTGTGAGCACTCTCGGAGGTCCAGACAGGAGGACATTTTAAATTTACAATAGGCGCCTGCTAGGATGCTTTAAGATGCTTTAAATTTAAGAATGGGCATCTGCTAGGATGCTTGAGTTAAGACTGGGGCTTCTTATCTGTTAGGTGATATTAATGCCACACCAGAATCAGGTTGGGAAGTAAACCACTGCTTCATTTGGTTAACAAAAGCTGCTAGTGGGAATTTACGGTTTGTCAGCCTGACCCAGCTGGCCTCCTTAGGAAAGAGTTTTTAGCAAAAGAAAAAGATCAGAGTTCAGTCCTCACTATGGAAGTGGGGTTTTCAGCAGGAGAGTTATCAAAGAAAACCAGAGTTGGACAGTAGCCACAGCGGTGAAAACATTTTATTTGGGACTATTGTAGTAGGTTAGAACTGTACTCAATTCCGAATACAAGGACAAGTGAGGATTATAGCCAAGGAGCAGGACGTAGGGCAGTGGGTGAAAAATTACTAAGAGGAAAGGTCAAGGGCAAGGGGAATTCTGGTTAAACCAACCTAGCAGGGGTCTTGTGGAAGGCAGGCCAGGGTGACCAGACATTACCTGGGGGAAGGTGGAAGATGAGGGGCCCCATCAGATACTGAGGGTGATTAGATACAGAGGATGGGGGATTCTGGCTGAACTGCCTTAGCACGATTCTTGCTAAAATTAGACAATGCAGAGGCAAACAAAGAAGCCCAAACGTAGTTGAAAAAGGGTGTAGGGGAGCCTGAGTAGAGTTTCATCAAGGAGAGAATCTTTGAGTGAGCTACTCAAATTTACTTTTTTATTGTTTTATTTTAAAGGCAAATTTAATGAAGTATAGTTACAGACAGTAAAATTCATCCTTTTTTGTGTGCAGTTCTGTGAGTGGTGACAAACGCAGCAGTTGCTCAGCCACCACCCCAGACAAGATACAGAGCAGTTCATCACACCCAAAAAGTCCCTTGTGTGGTCCTGGAGGTCAACCCCTCCCACGCCCCAGGCAACCACTGACCTGGTGCCATATGAATAGAATCATAGACTGTAGCCTTTTGAATCTAGTTCCTTTTACTTAGAATAACGCATTTGATACATGTCCCTATTGTGTGTATCGGGAGTTGGTTCTCCTTTTAATGCTGAGTACGATTCCATTGTATGGGTGCATCATAGTTCATCTGATACTTAACAGTTGAAGGATTCAAATGCGATTTAAGAAGAAAGCACTGTTCCTAGTTTGCACGGGGTGGGGTGGGGTGGGGTGGTCACGGGCCTTTTCCCTAGCTGGGCAGAGCCACGGCAACAGGCGCTATGTCTGGTTTTTGTTCCCGGCACCCTGGCTCTCCAGGGAGGAACGGAGCCCTGTGGGGCAGACGTGGGAGGGCATGTGGGGAGGGAGGGCCCGGTGCTGTCACTGCAGACTGGGGCTCATGAGAAGTGGAGCGAAGGGGGCAGGTTGGGTGCTTGGCTTTAGGGAAGGAAGGTCAGATGAGAGAGCTACTTCTGAGAGCAGAGCAAGAATATCTGGCCTCAACTTCAACTTGGACCAGAAGAGAGTGTGTGTTTGTGTGTGTGCAGAAGAGTGTGTGTGTGTGTGTGGGGGGGATGTACCCATCCCAACACCCTGGCTCTCAAGGCGGAAGCCAAGTCCACGCCGAGCAGGTACCCACGAGGCGGCAGTTCTTCTCCAGGCCGACAGGTGGCGACGTCGCATGGGGTCTGTGCCCCGCGGCCACCCGTTCAGCGGTCATGAAGGGCGGTTGGCCGCTGCACTGTGGGCCTGACGACCCTGGTGACCCCCACGTCCATGACCCTTATTTTACAGGCATAGGGCTCCCCATGTCTCGCAGAACAGGGGCTGCAAACCAGCGTCTCGTGCTCTTTCCTCCTTGTGCAGCCTCCATCTCTAGAGAGGGGACAGTCCGCTGAAGCTTCGGGCGTGGGCGGGAGCTGGCGGTGGAGCGGCGAGGCCGACGGGACAGACGGCCGCGAGTGACCACAGGCCCGGCCGCTGCGGACCCTGCTGCCAGTTGCTGTGTGCCGGTTTGCCTTTCCTCTGTGGTCCTCAGACTCCACGTTTAGAAAGCCGGACTTCGGGTTTAAACCACTTGGGTGCAGCGCTCACCGGCTGCGAAACCATGCCCGGGCCGGCACTCCCAGTCCCCGTGATGGCTTGTGCTGTGCATGGACTGCGACAAATCCGTTTTGCTCTTGTGTGACGAGGAAAGCTTTAAAGCACCGAAAGCTTGTTTTACTTTACAGGCAGCTTTACTTGTAACGTAAATCAGAGTAGGTAACATATACATATATGCTTTCATTGCGTTATTTTTAAATGTTCACAATTTTATTTTGATAAATGAAAAATTAGAAAAGTCATATCACGGCTGTCGGCTAAAGTCGCTGTGCGCCTTCATCCATAGCTGTCGACTGTAGTCGAGGCTGGTCCCGCAGAGATGAGGATGAAAAAGACACACAAGCTCTCATTCCCCCCTGGGCAGGTCCGGCGCTGGTGCTTGCAGGCAAGGCAGGCTGGAGCCGCTGCAGGGCGCCCTTGAGGCTGTGTGCAGGGTGTTGTATGTGCTGAAACACTTCTCTTCTAGTTGACATAGCTGCTGACCACGCACTAGGTTTGCCAGATAAAATACAAAAAAACACCCAGTTAAATTTGAATTTCAGATAAACAACAGATGATTTTAAAGTATGAATATGAACTAAATCTCACCTTGGACATGTTTATACTAAAAATTATTTGATGTTTATGGCCGGGCGTGGTGACTCACGCCTGTAATCCTAGCACTTTGGGCGGCTGAGGCGGGAGGATCATTTGATGCCAGGAGTAAGAGACCAGCCTGGGCAAGAGTGAGACCCCATCTTTACGCAAAAATAGAAAAATTAGCCAGGCGTGGTGGTGCACACCTGTAGTCCCAGCTACTCTGGAGGCTGAGGCAGAAGGATTGCTTGAGCCCAGGACTTAGAGGTTGCTGTAAACTATGACACTACCACTGTACTCTAGCCTGAGCAACAGAGAAAGACTGTCTCAAAACAAAAGCAAAAAGCAAAAAAGCAAACTTGTCCAGCTCACGAGGGTTCCTCCTGCTCCAATCCCTTTCCTGGAACCCCCAGATCTTCACCCCAATGGGCTCATGCCCAGTTTAACTGATTGTTACATATTTTGACCATCATTCCTGACTGCAAGGGGCAGCCAAATGCAATAGCTGTTCTCTTTTTCCCTCCCAGGCCTGGCACTCCTGCTGCCCCCGACCACACTGGCAGCCCTGGCAGACAGCTGGCTCCAGGAGGACTGCCCAGGCCTCAACTATGCATCCTGGGTCGCAGGGGCAGCCCCCTCGCAGGCTGCGCTGTGGGCCAAATCCCCCGGGGTACTGGCAGGGCGGCCTTTCTTCGATGCCATCTTCGCCAAACTCAACTGCCAGGTCTCCTGGTTCTTCCCAGAGGGATCAAAGCTGGTGCCGGTGGCCAAGGTGGCTGAGGTCCGGGGCCCTGCCCACTCCGTGCTGCTGGGGGAACGGGTGGCCCTTAACATGCTGGCCCGCTGCAGTGGTGTGGCCAGCGCTGCTGCAGCTGCTGTAGAGGCCGCCAGGGGGACCGGCTGGACCGGGCATGTGGCTGGCACGAGGAAGACCACACCAGGCTTCCGGCTGGTGGAGAAGTACGGGCTCCTCGTGGGTGGGGCTGCCACGCACCGCTATGACCTGGGAGGGCTGGTGATGGTGAAGGACAACCACATCGTGGCAGCCGGTGGTGTGGAGAAGGTGCTTGTCCTACTGAGCCCCTGCCCTGGCCCTGGTCCCACCTTCCCCTCCTCATACCCTCCCCCACCAGATCCCTGCGGTCCAGCCTGGTGCACAGAGATGGCTTGGAGTCGCAGGTGCAAGGCTCCTCCCTCCGCTGCCCGTCTGCAGCATGGGGCTGGACTTGCTCTTTCGCTTTGTTCTTCTGCAGCCTTGGATGATGTTCAAGAGCAAAGGACAAACCGCTGGGAAGCCGGTGTTGATCACTCCAACCCTCTGCACCTGTTTCCCCATCTGCGCAGTGTTCTGGGAGATCCTTTCTGGTTTTTATATTCTGAGTCAAATTGAACTCCGGTCCAAGTGCCAAATATTGCTCATATGTGGCTGTTTTTACACCCAAAAGTGTGGTGATTTCACATGGCATAACCTAATATAAAACATTCCAGTATCTGGTTTCCTCATGAACCCCAAGCTCAGTCACCATCTGTGGCCTTTTGAATGCCAGGCCCAGCTCCCTGCTCCCCAGGGCCAGGTGCCATCTGGTCCTCACCGCCACCCTCCCGCTGCCTGGCAGGCGGTGCTGGGCGCCCGGCAGGCGGCTGACTTCACGCTGAAGGTCGAGGTGGAGTGCAGCAGCCTGTGGGACGCGCTGCAGGCGGCCGCGGCGGGAGCCGACCTCATCCTGCTGGACAACCTCAAACCAGAGGTGAGGCGGGCTCTGCTTCCTGGGTTGGGGGGGGCGTGCAGGGGGCTCTCACTGCCCCGGCTTGTGTCCTGCAGGAGCTGCACACCACGGCCGCCGCGCTGAAGGCCCGGTTCCCGAGTGTGGCCGTGGAAGCCAGCGGAGGCATCACGCTGGGCAACCTCCCTGAGTTCTGTGGGCCCCACATCGATGTCATCTCTATGGGGATGCTGACCCAGGCCGCCCCAGCCCTCGATTTCTCCCTCAAGCTGTTTGCTGATGTCCCCCATCCTCCCCCGTCCTAGGGCTGAAGGGGATGACACTGGCAGTGGGTTAACGTGGCTTGCTGGCACCCTCGAGGTCACTGGCCAGGAGGGCACACTTGGCATTACCCTGAGCTCAACTCCAGCTCTGCCACCTAGAGCTTGTGTGACCTGGCAGGAGCAAATTTCACCTCTGCTCACCTCAGTTTCCTAACCTGCAAAATGGGACTAATAAAAGATTAACCTCATGGGGGTTTTGGAGTGGTAATTAACATATAGTAAGTGATCAGTAAATGCTAAAAATTATCATAGTTCATTTATTCTAAGATGCACATTTTTTTCACATGTGCAGAAGTTAGGGTGCCCCTTAATCAACAGTGTCTCACAGGTACTGTCAGCCAGGCTGCTGTCCCCAGGAAGCCACTGAGGCCTCTCGTACATACAGAGGGTCCTTGACTTAGGATGGTTCAACTTACGACTTTTTGACTGCACAGTAGTGCAAGAACCGCGCTTTGAGTACCAATGCCACCATTCTGTTTTTCACATCAGTATAGTATTTAGTAAATTATATGAGCTGGTCAACACTTTATTTTAAAATAGGCTTTGTGTTAGATAATTTTGCCCAACCGTAGGCTAATGTAAGTGTTCTGAGCACATTTAAGATAGGCTAGGCTAAGCTCTGATGCTAGGCAGGTTAGGCGTATTTTTTTTTTTTTTTTTTGAGACAGAGTCTCACTCTGTTGTCCTGGCTAGAGTGCCGTCAGCCTAGCGGCTCACAGCAACCTCAAACTCCTGGGCTAAGCAATCCTACTGCCTCAGCCTCAAGTAGCTGGAACTACAGGCATGCGCGCCACCATGCCTGGCTAATTTTTTCTATGTATTTTTAGTTGGCCAATTAATTTCTTTCTATTTTTAGTAGAGACAGGGTCTCGCTCTTGCTCAGGCTGGTTTTGAACTCATGACCTTGAGCGATCCGCCTGCCTTGGCCTCCCAGAGTGCTAGGATTACAGGCATGAGCCACCACGCCCGGCCAGGTTAGGCGTATTAAATGCATTTTCATCTTAAGATATTTTCACCTTACGAGGGGCTTATCAGACCTAATCAGACTTATCAGACCTTATCAGACTAATCAGACCTTATCAGACTTGCCCATTGTAAGTCAAGGAGCATCTGTATGTGCTAAAGATCTATGTCAAAATAGGCCAAAAGAGCTCTTTCAACATATATAGAATAGAAATTGGCTGGGTGTGGTGGCTCACGCCTGTAATCCTAGCACTCTGGGAGGCCGAGGCGGGCGGATTGCTCAAGGTCAGGAGTTCGAAACCAGCCTGAGCAAGAGCAAGACCACGTCTCCTAACCTGAAATAATATCACAATACAATTAAATTGGGCGGGCAACCTAATATATACCCTACGAAAAAAAAAAATTAGCCCGATTAACGGGTGCATGAACTGTAGTCGCCACAGCTCTCCCTATCCGGGAGGGCTGAGGCAGAAGAGATTGCTATGAGCCCTGGAGTTTGAGGTTGCATTGTGAGGCCAGGCCATAAGAAGACCGGGCCAAGCGAGCACTACCACTGATAGGCTGGGGCACCAACAGAGTGACGCAGCATTCTGTCCTCAAACAAACAAACAAAAAAGAATCATGTGTAAGTCAATTAGGAATGCCCATTGGTCATAAGTTTAACCCTGATCAATTTTTGAGCCAATTCAATGTTGTAGTAGATAGCTAACCCTACCACACTGTCATCTTATATTTGAAAGATTGTGGGCAACTAGGTTACTTCTTATAGGCCTTTCCAGTCTAGAACGCTTCCAAAAT